GGTGAGGTTGTTAGGGGAGTCACAAAACTGCTGCCCCGAGGTTATAATCAATAAGAATCCTTATTGATTCTCAGACTTCCTGCAGATGCCACAGCTCCAGCGACCAGACTGACTGGGCCCCTGGGTCTGGCCCTGCTGGACACAGGGAACTCACGCCTCTCGAGCTGGAGGTCTCGGCTGTAACTTTATGGAGAATGCTTAGTGCAGAAACCCCCTACACCCGTCCTGGTTCCTTCCTCCAGGAGCCTCCTCGTTCTTCCACAAGGCAGAGCCGGGTCTCTTCTGCTTTGGGGTATGTCCATCAATGATTGACAAGTTCTCTCTGTAAAAATTATGTCATTCCAATCGCCCCATCCCTCCTAGTTTCCTACCTCATTCTGTCCCTAGGCCTGGCAAGTCCTTCTTGGTTGATTTGCTTTTCGAGCCCTGGGTTTGAGTTCCAGCCTACCACTCACCAGCCTCGGACAAGCCCCTGAGCCTGTCTGAGCCTCTCATTGCTCATCTGTAAAATGCGGCCATTGCTAGACCCTACTTCACAGGATTTGGGGAGGAAGCAAGGAAACACCCAGGTAGAGTCCTGAGCATGGTCCGGGGCCTAAGGAGATGCTCAGTAAGTAAGTGCCCTTGAGATTATTAGCTTAGGGCCGTCTCTGGGGTCTAGTGGTTAAGACTCTGCACTTCAAACGCAGGGGGTGCAGGTTCAATCCCTGGTGAGGGAACGAAGATTCCACAAGCCCTGTGTGGCATGCTCCCCCCCAAAAAGAGAGAGGTTATTACTTTAATTGTGTCTTAATTATCATGGATAACATTGAATAGGACTTCCCACATGGCTCAGTGATAAAGAATCCGCCTACCAATGCGAGAGATACAGGTTTGATCTCTGTCTAGAAGCTCTCCTGGAGAAGGAAATGGCAACCCACTCCAGTATTCTTGCCCGGGAAACCTGGAGGACAGAGGAGCCTGGCAGGCTACAGCCGTGGGGTCACAGAAGATTGGACAGAACTTAAGCGAGTCAACAGCAGCAACAACACTGAATATGCATGCCCCACAGACAAACTGTGCTATTTACAAACACAGTCACAGTCTGTGCCCTGGGGCAGGTATTAATGTCATCTTCTCCTGACAAATAAAGAAAGTGAGGCTTGGAAATGTTAAATAATAAGCCCACAGCCACTCATTGTTACCACACTAGGGCTAAGCTCTTATTTTTTTAAATCTATAACTATATTAACAATGGTTTCTATAACACAACCTTAGCACATTAAGAGCAAAAATGCAGCAAGCAAAACACAGCAAGCAAACATCAACCCAATAACCATCTTTAGAATAATTTTTCTTATGTTTTCTAATAGGACTCCTTCACCCCTCAAAAAGGCTCTATGTCTATTAGGGCTTTTATATAATCAGGTTCTTTATATTATTTTATGATTAGGGTATTACAAGCAATCATGCATATTAGTACCAAGGGCATAAATGCATTTGCCAAACAAACTAAAATACCAGCAAAGGAGTTTAAATTAAAACACTCCTTTCACCCTGGATAATCTCATAAAATACCACCACCCGGGAAACTTATTGATTAAAGTTCTAAATTGATTCTTATTTGGAAAGAGATCGGGGAAGGCCTTCTGCCTGTGTCACAGAAATTAGGGAGTAGTCTATTGAAGCAAGCATCAGAAAGACAGATATCATCTTTAAGGTGAGCGCTGGGGGCAGCTTTTCGGAATCCCTGAAAACCTGATCCACCTTGCCTGTCAGGTTTTCTCCTCATGACCTCATGCTGGCCCAGAGGGGGCAAGGTTGGCATGGGGTCACCGAGAGAAGGCTGACCCACCTGAAGATCAGGAGGGCTTCCTGGAGGAGGAGATATTACAGCTAAGCGGTAAATGACATTGTAAGCACTCAAGACACAGGAATCACTTTTTTTTTTTCTTTTAAGGTATCACTCTTGTGAATGATGTATTAATAGTGGACATTCATCCTGCTACCATCCCCTGTTCTGCTCTTTGGCTGCCTAGCTCTGTGCTGGGTGATGCTGGGGACATATCAGTGACTGGTATAGCCCGGGCCCTAAATTCCTGGGCCTCACAGATGACCAGTGAGCACAGACATCAAACAAGTCATTATCCAAATCATTGGTTCAAAAGGAAATTACAGAAAACTGGCAGAAGACCTTTGGTCTGACATTCACAAATTCCTCCCTTTGTTACCTCCCAACCTTCAGCCCATCCATAGAGACAATATATTCAGTCCATAAGCATATATTAACTCTTTCCTTTTCCAAAAAATATTATTTTATTTATTTTTGATTGTACTGGGTCTTTGCTGCTTCTCGCAGTTCTTCTCTAGCTGCAGTGAATGGGGGCTACTCTTCGTTGCAGTGCACGGGCTTCTCATTGCTGTTGAGAAGCATTGCGGTCTTTGCCCTCGGGGCTTTTCTTGTTGCAGAACGCACACTTTAGGCGCACGGATTTCAGTAGCTGAAGACATGGACTCAGTAGTCGTGGCTCACAGACTTAGTTGCTCTGGGGCATGTGGAATCTTCCCAGACCAGGGATTGAACCCATGTCCCCTGCATTGGGAGGCAGATTCTTGTCCACTGGACCACCGGGGGAGTCATAAGCTCTTGCTAAAGGTAAAATATAGTGTCTGCCAAAAGGGAGTCCTCAACAGACTTTGTTCAGACTTGGCTCTCTGACTAGACTGAGATGATACGAGCTAATGGGAACAACCCCACTGCCTTTATTCAATTGACAACAACCAGAGGAACATCTTAAAACGTATTTCTCCTATGTCCTTCCCCCTGCTATACCCTTCCTTCAGGGGTATATCCACCGTGCCTTCAGGGAAGTCCCACAGGTTCTTAACCAGGTGAGACTTGACATCCACTGTATCTAACATTCTAAGATGTCCCTTTGGTGTTCTGAAATTAAACTCATAGATAATAGAGCCCACCAACACAAATTTTATTTTTCAAAATTAATATCTAAATTAATACCAAAATTAATATTTTCAAAAATAGTCCTAACTATTAATAAAAAGGGGAAAATTTATAATCAAATAATTGTCTGCTTTAGTCTAGAGATGCTCAGGCATGGCCACTGTAAAAAGCATCTCTTCAGGAAGATATTAGCATCTCTGTGTAGATTCACCACGAATGAGACAAGAATAATCTGTGTGTTGTTTGGACAGTCACCACAGCTAGCACTACCTGGGGTGATGTGGCTTCTAGAAAGAGTGAACAACTCTAGATCAATTTCTTGGCAAATCAAGAACAGGCAGGCCATGATGGACACAGCCATTGCATTCCAGGAAAGGTCAGTGTACATTAAAATATTGCAGAAGCACTTAGTGTTTACATGTAAAACATAGCTGAGCTCTAGACTCAGTTCATCATAAATGGGTTTTCCTACATACATGGGTGTCCAGTGGAATGTAATTGTTCTTTACAACTGTTCTTTACAAGTTGGACTCAGTCGTGTCCAACTCTTTGCAACCCCATGGACTGAAGCCCATCAGGCTCCTTTGTCCATGGGATTCCCTAGGCAAGAATACTGAAATGGGTTGCCAATTCCTTCTCCAGGGGATCTTCTTGACCCAGGATTGAACCCTAATCTCCTGCATTGGCAGGCGGGTTCTTTCCCCCTGAGCCTGTGGGACAGTGGAAAGTTAAATGGGATCTGAGACAGATCTTGGTTGAACAGATGGTTGAGACATTCAGCATTCCTGGTCCCTGGGCCTTACATCTAATCACACCTCCAATCACTGTGACAAACCCCCAAACACCCCCATCAATTCCAAAACATCTGAGGGAGATCACAATCTGATAGCAACCAGTCCATGCACACTGGGCTGGCCCCATCTGGGACCCTTACTCCATTCTAGCCACCCCTGCCCCCTTGCTGTCCCCCAAATTTCATGCCTCCAGAGCTTGTGTTCCTTTTCCTGGAAGATCGTTCCATGTAGTCTTAGCTTCTGGGTCCCCTCTCCCAGCCCAGCCTATGTATTAATAGTTGGTCTATTGTTTTCTCATTTGCTGGCTTTCCCCCATTGGACTGCTTGTTCATGACACAGGCACAAAGTAGCTGTGGTCACTGCTGAGTTTCTAGAGCCCAGTATAAGGGGCCTCAATGATTTATGTGTTGAGTGATCAAGGGGAACAACTGGGAACCACAGGTGGAGGAAAAATTCCTAGAGGTGACATGGGCAGGAGACACGAAGGTCAGGAGGGATGTGGAACAATATACCAGCCCAAGGGGGAAAGGCATTCTAAGGGAGGCTGTGCCACACCAAGGCTCTCTGCTGCTTCTCCATGTCATTCTCTGGGGGCAGACCTGGGTGCAAATCCCTACTCTGCAATTTTCCTGCTGTGTGAACTTGAGTACTCTCCTTAACCTCTCTGAGCGTCATATCCTTCTCTATAAAATAGAAATGATGGTATCCACCTCCTTGAGTGGTTACAAGGCTCAAAGAGATCATTTTTGTAAAACATTGAACACTCTAGTGTGCACTTAGTAGATATTTGGTGAGTACGTGGCTCCTAGTTCCAGATGTGATGAAAAATTAAGTTTTAATCCCGAATAGGTAGGAGGAGCATCTAGCTTTGGAGTCACATGGCCTTGAGTTAAAGCCCCAGCTCTGCCATATACCTGTTATGTGACTCTGGGCCACTGAGTTTTCCTCTCTGAGCTTTAGTGACTTGTCAATGAAATGGGATCATAAGTGTGTTACCCACCTGGCATTGCTGTGAAAATGAGATCAGATTGTGAATGTGACTGTGCAGCACAGTGTCTGGCTCCTGGGAAGGGGTTATGTTGTTATGATTAGGAATGGCTCTGGGGTGTATGGAGGGAGCAGGCCCCCAGCCCTGGAATAAAGGAGGATGGGGGCGGGAGCATTTGCAGACATGAAGTTTTGTTGAAAGGATAGAAAAACTGAGGCCCAGGGAGACGGGTCTTTCCAGAGGTCACAGAGCACCTTGCAGGCCCAGCAAGGACCAGCGACAACAGGAAAGACCCCCTTCCAGATCTCCATGGGGGATTAAAGTCAGAAAGGATCAAAGGTAAGGAGTGGGCCCTTTAAATCATAAGCTCCACCTTTGCTTAGAAGGGTCTTTGGGGATATAAAAGGGGGTGCAGTTCCTCTCCGCCCCTGAAAACCATCAGCTGCTCCTGTTTGCGGGCCCCCAGCCCACTTCTCTCCAGCCACCCCCCACCAACACTCCCCCGGGTGCCATGCAGCTGCCACCCTTTGACATGTGGAAGGACTACTTCAACCTGAGCCAGGTGGTGCTGGCACTGATCCAGAGTCGGGGGCAAGGGTCGGAGACCCAGGGGACTGGAGAGCCAAGACCTGGGCCCCACATGGAGCAGGATCAGGGGCAGGAAGGACGGGGGACCAGCGGGGGCCTGGCCGCCCTGTGCAACTTTTGCAAACACAATGGAGAGTCTCGCCACGTGTACTCCTCACACCAGCTGAAGACCCCGGAGGGCGTGGTGGTGTGCCCCATCCTGCGGCATTATGTGTGCCCCCTGTGCGGGGCCACCGGGGACCTGGCCCACACGCTCAAGTACTGCCCGCTCAATGGGGGGCAGCAGTCTCTCTACCGCCGCAGTGGGCGCAACTCAGCCGGCCGCAAGGTCAAGCGCTGAAGACCGTCAGGTACCCACCCGCTGCAGCCCCAACCCTCCCTGGTTCAGCCCTCCCAAGCCCCTAGACTCTCCCCATCCCTGGACTCATCCGGCCCTTTGGAATGTCTGACTCTCAGTACTAGATCCCTGCTGGATCCTGGAACAACGGAGGCAGTGGGCAGCCAGGCCAGCTCTGCCGCCCCTTAGAACTCAGCTCTCCGGGCTCTGTCTGGGAGTGTCTGTGGATTCTCCGGTGCAGCGGGACACCCTACTCCTTGGACCACACAGCCCCGTGGCTCCTCCTGGGCCACAGTCCATGGATCTTCAGTTCTTCTGGGACATTTGCCCTGCCTCTCTGACTTCTCAGCCCTCAGGGTTCCATTCCTTGGGGAATTCTTGGACCATTGGTCTTGCAGGACTCCGCTGTGCTCTCCCAGGGACACCCCTGAGAATCTGGAGAGAATGAACAGGCTGGCGTGGACCTTCCAGCCCAAGAACTTCAACATGGGATTCTGACTTAAACCAGCCTTCTCTGCCTCCTTCGGGCCACCGGCAGACCCACCGTTTCATCGTGGAAGGCACCGGATGGGTCCCGCCCTCATCATCCTATCCATCAAGAGCTGGGGGAAGGAGGGGTCACGTCAGAGGGGTACCACGTCTTCGCAAGCTTATCTGGGGCTGAAGAGTCTTGGGGTGCGCTAGTACCCTTGAACTACCCCCTGGTTGTTCTTTCCTTTGTTCATTCCGTTTTCCTGTGCTCCTGCCCCCACGGTGATGGCGAATCACCGATGGGTCTTTTCCGAAGCGAGAGGGCTTCTCTCCGCCACCTCCCACCCGCCCCCACAAATGCCCACAGTTTGTAAAATGGTCCTTTCTGTCCTCCCGTGTTTTTTTTCAACCTCCAACAGTTTAGTAAACGAAGCTCCCACAAGAAAGGGGTTTTAATGCCCGGAGGGGGATGGCAACAGCCTAGATTTTATTTTAGGGGCAAAGAAAAGCCCCAGTCAGATTTTTACGTTGTTTGGTTTTTAACTCAGGGCTGGGCCCGAGTGTTGAGCTCTAGTGAATAAATAAAACGTGTTTCTGGTTGTCTTTGAAATAGCTATGTCTGTTTCCTCCGAGGCTGGGGGTGGGGGGAGGGTGGGGAGACCCGAGTTTGTCCTAAAACGTGGGAAGCAGGAGGCGGAGCAGGAAGGAGACCCGGGTCCCTCCCACGAACGTGCCTCCCCATAACAATGTCCTACACAGGTCACTTGTGGACTGTTCCCTAAATCCCAGCCTCCACCTCGACCCTAGAATCCCTTTCTTCGTCTTTTTTTTCTGGGCTCTGTCCAGGGTCCCCTCCCACCCCTGCTAGAACCCAGATCATCCAGGACCTATTTTGTGGCAGTTCTCAAACTCGGCTCCCAGAGCCCATTGGGGAGGTGACCAAAAGGACTGGTCCCTGCTCTGGGGGACATGCACATAACCACAAAACTTTGCATATGATACCAGCGTTTCTTTTCTTCCCATCATTCCACACATATTTATTGAGCTCCTACTTTGTGCCAGGCGCTGTTCTGGACATTGCTGGTTACAGCAATGAGCAAAGCAGACAAGGCTCCTGCCCTCATGGAGGTGACATTCTAGTGGAGAAAGGGGTGAGGTGACAATCAAAAGTTCGTTCGGATTTTAAAGGTCTTCCAAAACCGGAACGAACTTTTTGGCCAACATAATATCAGGTGGGTGATAAGCGCAGTGAAGGATAAGAGGCAGGGCAAAGGGGTAAAGAGTGAAGGAGGGGCTGTTTTGTACGGGAGGTGGTCAGGGGAGGTCTTTCTGTGGAAGTGACACTTCAGCAGAGTCCAGATAAGTTGAGGAAACCAGAAGGGCATTCCATGCATTGGTGACAGTGAGTGCAAAGGCCCTAAGGTCGAACTGAATCTTTGCAGAAGAAGCAGGAGCCCAGCGGAGTAAGATCAGAGAGGCATAAGGGGTAGGCAAAGAGTTCAGAATCTTGCAGACCTTGGTGAGACTCTGACCTTCATTGGGGCTTTGCACTCTGAAATTCACCTTGGGCTCCACTCTCACATACTCTAGTTACAGAGAAAAAACCAGAGACCTCTCCTCACAGGTCCTTTTCCAAAAATGCAGATCTGCCCACAACAGAGATCCCCAAATCCCTCAAACAGCCAGAAGGGATGCCCTAACCCCAGAGCTGTGGTGTGCCCGCGCGGGAAGGTTGGGCCGTGGAGGAAGTGGGGCACTCTGACAAAGGGTGGGCAAGAGTTATGGAAAGCAACAAGGGGGTGATAGTACTCAGGGCGATGATGACAGGTGGAGGGGGCACACTTTAGACCAGAGAAGTGAGAGGAGGAAGATATTCAGGTCAGTCTGGGATGGGGATAGATACAAAGTGCCTGGGGACATCCAAGATGAAAGCGTCCAGGAGACCTGATCTGGGGCTCCGAGGAGAGGATGGAGACAGACAATTAGTGACCAGTTTGGTTTGGGATTTTTTTTTAATGAATTTTCATTTATTCAGCAGATAATTAAGTGGCAGGGGAGCTCTGACAAGAGCTGAGGACACAAGGAGCCGGAGGAATAACGTCCCCTGACCTTGATCTCCCCCAGCCCCTCACTGTTGAAGAGCTCCATACGCCTCTGCCAATGGCTCCCTACCAGCAGCCTCTGCACAAGCTCCAGACCAGATTTAGACCCAACTCGCTGCTCAGCCCACACACTCATGGAGCCCCAGCATCCTGGGTGGCTGCCCTGGATGTGCAGTGTATTCATTTCCAAGGGCTGCCATAACAAAGGACCATAAACTGGGGGGACTTGAAACACAGTTCTGGAGGCTAGGAATCTGAAATCAAGCTGTTGGCAATGGTGCATTCTCTTCCAAGGCTCTAGGGCAGGACGCTTGCTTCTTCCAGCTTCTCGTAGCCCCAGGCTGTCCTTGTTTCTGACAGCTTCACTCCCATCTCTGCCTCCGTCTTCAAAAGGCTGTCTTCTTCCCTCCGTGTCTTTCTCCTCTTCTTAGAAGGACAGTGATGTTGGCTTAAGGATCCACCCTACTCCAGTATGACCTCACCTTAAGTAATTACATCTGCAGGGACCCCTTTTCCAAATAAGGTCACATTCTGAAGAAAGGGTTAGGACTTCAATATTACTGGGGGGGGGGCAATTGGGGACACAGCTCAACCCACGGATCACGTTTATACTCACCAGGTCCTAACTGACCTCATCTCCCCAACTGGGACCTGAGCTGGAGACCTGGGTGTCACCTAGACACCTCCCTTTCTGTCCCCAACCTGACAGTCACCACACTCTGCATATCCTGCCTCTCAAATGTCTCCCAATTCATTTCCCACCGTCCCTGCCCTGGTCCAGGCTCTCCCACCCTCTCCTTGCCCTCCCCCCCAGACTTCTCCCTTGACTCTGGCCAATAATCTCGGCCCCTCCCACCCACCTTCCACACAATGGCGGGGTTCTTTCCAACACACACATCACACCCTGCCCATCCTCACTCATTCAAGCTCCTTAACGTTGTTCATAAGGTCCTTGCATGGGCTGCCTCTGATTCCTGGATCCTTCATGGGGCACATGGTGGGACCTCATCTAAACCCAGCCCTGGTGAAAGTCAGCTTGCCACCCCACTCTGCGCCTGCACCCCCTCAGAAAAAAATATGAACGGAGAAGAACACACAATCATGGGGACTCAACACTTTTACATCCAAGAACCTCAAGTAATTGGTTCTATTTGTCTACATTTCCCTGGCCATTCACTATTTCACGCTTTCTCCTCTCTCTCCGCTAACTTCAGCACCTCCTTTTCACCCCTGACCTTCCTTCCTACGCTACTGAGCCAACAGAAGGAACCAGGAGGGAACACGTTTCTGACACTGCTGACACTACATCAGCACCTGCCTGCCTCCATGCCCATATAGCCCCTCCCCGTTTATTGTGGCCGAACAGCCCACACCCCTTAGACCAACCCCTACTTGTGTCCTGAGCCCCACCCACCGTGCCCACTCAAGGACATGAGGCTGTGATTCTCTCCTCTCTCCTCCAGAGCATCAATCTCCCCTTCTCTGGATCACCCCATAGGCACACAAACATACTGTGACATCTCCCATCTTAAATAAACCTCTTGAGATCCTGAGCCTCCTTCCAGATACCACTCCATTTCCTCTCTAGAAAGGATCATCTACACTGGCTCTCTCTATACCCTCCTTGAACTCACCCAATTAAGCTCCTGCCCCCACCACACCACCAAAATTGCCCTTTCCAGGATTACTGATGAATTCTGTGTCACCAGCCCCAGCAATCGGTTCTCAGACTTCATTGAACTTGGCTTCTAGGCAGCATTTGGCCTCGTTAACCCTTCCCTCCTCGCTTGGACTTCCTAGGTGGCTCAGTGGTAAAGAATCTGCCTGCCTGCCAGTGCAGCAGACACAGGTTCAATCCCTGGGTCAGGAAGATACCATGGAGAAGGAAATGGCAACCCACTCCAGTATTCTTGCTGGGAAATTCCATGGACACAAGAGAGTGGTGGGCTACAGTCCCATCAGGTTGCAAAGAATTGGACAAGACTTAGCGACTGAACCATAAAACCCTCAATCTTCTTCTCCCTCGGCGTCCAGGACAGCAGACCACCCTGGATCTCCTTTCACTTCCTGATTGCTCTTCCTCAGTCTTCTTGGCTGATCCCAGCCCTCTATACCTGAGTGCCCAGCCTTAATGCCACGGACTTCTTTTCTATCTACACTCGTTCCCTCACCAGCCTCTCCCAGTCTTAAATGTCATTATTCACTGACAACTCCTAAATTCCTTTCTCAAGACAACCTCTCCCCTGAAGTCCAGACTCAAATATTCAACTGCCAACCTGGTATCTGTACTTGAATACTTGAACTCTTAATCCTCTTGTAGCCCATTGCCAGTCTTTGCTTCTGGTAGCTCCATCCTTCCATTACTCAGGCCAAAGACACTGCAGTCATCCTCAACTCCTCTTTCTCTCACTTCCTCTACCCATTTCCACTTCAGCTCACCTCAGCAGCTACTGCCTTGGTTGGAACCACTACCTCTTCATGGGGCCTCAGCTTCCACTCTTGCTCCCTAAAGTCAGTTTCTACTATTAAACCAGAGTCAGATCATGTCCTTCCTCTGCTGATAGCTCTCACCTCTTGTAAAGTCCAAAATCCTCAGTGACCCACAAGGCCCTGAAAACCTGTCTCCCCACCCTACCCTGCCTGCTGGCACCCTCCTCTCCAGTCCACTAGCCTCCTGCTATAGTCTTACCTCTGACTGCATTTGACCCCTCACCTCCTTCATGTGTTTACTCAAATGCCACCTTCTCAGAGAGGCCTCCCCCAACCACCTTATTTTAAAATTACAGACACACTCAAGCATACCACACTGCCCAATCCCTTTGCCCACTTCTATTTATTTCATAGTACTTACCACTTTTTCACTTATATATCTTATTTTGCTAATTGTCTCACTCTCCCCAGGAAAAAGTGAACTTCATGAAGGTATAAAATTTTGTCTTTTGTATTCACTGCACCTAGAATTGTGCACGCGTTCAATAAATATTTGTTTGAATGATCAATGAAGCACTGTTTGTTGAATGACCTTGAGGACTCCAGCAGGATGTAAGCTACAAATTTCTCGGCGTAGACTTAACTCCATCATCCTTCCAGCTAGAACCCGTGTTCTAGCTTCATTTCTGCCTCCATGCATTTGCTTAACGTCAAGTCTGTGCCGGGATCACCCCTTACCCTCCAAGAAGCTCTCACTCTCATCTCCCTCCCCGCGTCAGTCGTGCTCAGGCAGGGCTTGAAGGTAGATGAGTTACTATGGTTACTGCACCCGCTAGGGGCAGACTATCTCCTGGGTGCCCAGCCCCTACGTGTAATAGATGGTTTGCAGATTCTTAGCAGCCCCGCGCACGGACCGGTATATGGGGCTGCAAACCTAGTTTTCTGACACTCCCCACCCCACCCACGCAGTTGTCATGGAAACGAAGCGCTACCAGCACCGTCTCCCTCCCCTTTCTCTAAGACACACACAGACAAAGCTAGAGGGATGAGTGGGCTGGAAGATTGTCCGAAACGCTGAGAAGCTATGCAGTCCCATCGCTCTCCACTGTCCCTCCCTGATCCTCCAAGAATTGCTACGCCTGCGCAGGAGACAGAGTCTGGGTACCAAGACTAGCGGGCAGTGAGGCACGCATGCGTACGAGGGTTTTGCGCGTGCGCTCTGGTGGTATCTGGGAGCTAGGGGATCGAGCGCCGCGCTAACCTTGCGCCTGCGCAACTGCAGCCCGCTGACGGAGGCCGGTGGAGGGCAATTCTGCGCTTGCGCTAGGGCGGGGGGAGTGAAACCGAAGCGGTAAGGGCGTTGGGGGACCGACCGGCGCTAGGTGCGCCTGCGCCTTGGCTCGCGGGGCGGCTGGGGGCGGGGCCCAGAAGGGGAGGGAGAGAGCCGGCAGGGGGAGGGAAGAGGCCGCAGGAGCCCGAGCCTTGACCGACGGGCAGGCGGGGGCTGCGGCGGCGCCGGTGAGTGATCCGCGGCCCGACTCGGTCCCCACCCTCTGTGACCCTCACTCTTCCTGGAGTCTCCCCTAGCCCTCGTTGCCCCGCGAGCCAATCCCGCACCCCCATAACCCTCAGGGCTCCCCTTGATTCGTGGCAATCCCCAGAGCCCCCACAATCCCCGCAGACCCTAATCCCCAAGAGTTTATATTCCCGGCTCCTCCACTGTCCTACGAGCCCCCAACTCACCATTATTTCTGGACTGCCCTTCTAAGGACCACTTCTCTTACTGGTCTTGCAGACGTCCGATTGCCCCCGAACCCCCAGAGCGCTCCACTGATCCAGTTCTCCCCCTTCTTGCTGCATCTCCTTTTGAGGATCTTCTTATCCCCATCACCCTCGTGTTTCATCGACCTCCGAGACACCCCCATTCTACTTGCATTTCCCACTCTCCTATGCGCCCAGTTCTCCTCTAACTGCCGCAGACACCCCCTCTTCTTCGCTCTTATTTCCCTCCACTCCTCCAGACCCTCCCCCCATTTTCATCAACTCCCTGGCCTGGCACTTTGCGCCGCGCCTGGCACAAGACAAGCGCTCAGTCGGTGTCATCTATTCTTAGGCACTCTGAGGGCCCCCAGCGGCCCGTCTCCTCCGTGTGCCCTCCGCCCCCACCCCTGTCCCCGAGGACCCGGGAGCCGGTGTCGGGGCGGCCGGGGTGGGGCGGGTGGCGCGGGGCCGCTGAACCCCCTGCCAGCGACCTGCGCCCTGTGCCCGCAGCGCCGGCGCCCCCCATGCGCCAGGCGGCCGGACGGCGGCGTCGGGGGGCGCCATGGCCTCGGCGGCGGCGGGCGAAGCGGAAGAGACCACCCGGCTGCGCAAGCCGCGCTTCTCTTTCGAAGAGAACCAGATCCTGATCCGCGAGGTGCGTGCCCACTACCCGCAGCTCTACGGCGCTCAGAGCCGTCGGGTGAGCGTGGCGGAGCGGCGGCGAGTGTGGGACGGCATCGCCGCCAAGATCAACGGCATCACCAGCTGGAAGCGCACGGGCCAGGAGGTGCAAAAACGCTGGAACGACTTCAAGCGCCGCACCAAAGAGAAGCTGGCCCGCGTGCCGCACTCCACGCAGGGCGCCGGGCCTGCCGCCGAGGACGCTTTCTCCGCTGAGGAGGAGACCATTTTTGCCATCCTGGGACCGGGTGTGGCGGGGTCAGGAGCTAGTGCAGGGGCCGAGCAGCCCCCCGCGACTGCTTCTTCACAGCCGCCAGCCCCGAGTGCCTGCGCCCAACGCTATGTGCTGTCTGAGGATCGCAGGGAAGATCGACGCGCGGGTGAGTTCCTTCAGCATCACTTTAGCAAAAGCAACCAAATTCTACTTTGTGTCTGGCGCTGTTTTGAGCCCTTTCTGTGGCGCTTCAGAACCTCACTACAACCCTGTGAAGGGCATGCTGCTATAATCCCCGTTTTACACCTGTAGAGACTGAGGCTCAGAAAAGTGTAGTGACTGTCAGAGACAAGAATGGAACCCAGACCTAGGAGATCTGGCTCCAGAAATCCATAGCTGGGTTCATCAGCTCGCCCACGATTTTCACCGTAATTGTAGTGTAGGGAGTGACTCCGGAGGCAGACAGTTTGGGCTCCAGTTACTACTTTGCCACTCAGCTGTGTCATTTGGGATAAGTAACTGCTCATCAGTTTCTGCATCTGTGAAATGGGAATAAAAGATTGTCCCCACCTTACAGGGCTGCTGGGCAAATTAAATGGACTTATATGTGTAAGTTGCTTAGCACATTGCCTCCTTGTTAGTTCCTGATACAATTACCTACACTGTTAAGTAGGAACTGTTTCACCATTTTATAAATCAAAGACTCAGGGAGGTTTGGTAATTTCTCAAGATCATGCCCAGAGTAGAGAAACCCAGGAGAGTGGAGTACAAAACTTCCCATGCAACCTTGACTCTGGATGATTATTTCTTCTACAGCTATTCCCCAGGCAACTGCCCCCGAGTGTTGGGGACAGAGGTGTGACTGAGACATCCTTCTGGGACTCACAGTTCAGTGGGGGAGACAGATCCATGCATAGACCGTGATGACTCAGAGCAGGCAGGGCTGGGTGGTGGGAGTTCTGAGGAGAGCACCTGATCCAGCCTGGGCAGTCAAGGGGGGCTTCCTGGAGTAGGAGGCATCAGAGTTGAGATACAGAGTGATGATGAAGAAGAGCTGGAAAAGTGTTCCATAAGAAGGAAGAGCATGTACAGTGGCTTGGAGACAAGAGAGCTTGGCCACTTTAGGAAATTGAGAGATGTTGCCTTCTGAGAGGAGAGGAAGGAAGAAAGAACATAGTTTTGAGATGAGGCCAGAGAGGTCAGCAAAGGTCAAACCATGCAGGTCCTTTAGGCTGAGATAAGGAGTTCAGTTTTATCTTACGTACTCTGCGGAGCCACCAAAGGGTTTAGAGAAAGAGGGGCCATGTGATCCAACAAGGCTTCTCAGGATCATGTATTATAATTTCGAGAGGTGCACTCACTCACCCAAAATCACACAGCAAGTAAGCAGTAAGAACTTGAATACAGGTTGTGTCCAACTCATAGTCCGTGAACTTAACTTATGCACTGGACTAGACGGCCTGATATATATGCCATGTGTGTGTATATGTATGTATGTATGTATGTGTGTGTGTGTATATATATATATACACATGTTGTATATGTATATTGTTGTTTTGGTTTGTTGCTAAGTCAAGTCCAACTCTTTTGCAACCCCGTGGACTGTAGCCTGCCAGGCTCCTCTGTCAATGGGATTTCCCAGGCAGGAACACTGGAGTGGGGTGCCATTTCCTTCTCCATGGAATCTTCCTGACCCAGGGATCGAACCCAGGGCTCCTGCATTGCAGGCAGATTCTTTACTGCTGAGCCACCTGGGAAGCCCACAACAAAGACAATTAATATTGACTGAGAGTTAATGAGCGTGCCAGAACTGGATCACACATGGTTTGTAAATAAAGGTCAGGACTTTGGATTTTATCTTGAGGGCATCTGGGAGGCATGACAGTGTCTTAAGCAGGAGAAAGACACAATCACTTGGGACCCTCGTCCTCAGTATGAAGCAAATGTCAGTGTTTCTGTGAAATGGCCCCATTGAACCAGCACAGAGTTGGCAAACTTATTACTTGAAAAGCTGTGCAACCCCTCCATTCATTCATTCATTCAACAGGCATCATGGTAGGTGCTGCAAATACTATGGAGAAAAAGACAATTTTCCTTTTCATATGAAACTGACATTCTAACTATGGTAGACAAACCACAAATAAGTAACCCTCAAAGCAGATTATACGAAGAGGTGATAAAAGAGGTAAAACAAAGCATGTTAAGAGTGTAGTGAGTAATGGGAGGGGGCGGCCGCTGTAGACAGGGGAGTCGGGGAGGGCTTCTCTGGAGGTGAAATTTGAGCAGAGACATGAATAGAGACTGGGCCAAGTGGATATCTGGAGGAAGGGTACTCCAGTTGGCAGGAACAGCAGGTGCAAAGGCCCTGAGGCAGGTATATGCTTAAAGTATCCTTGACTAGAATCTCACACAGAGATTACCCACTGTGTAAAACTCTTAAAAGAGGAATTGCTCTGACTGAAGGACCGGAGCAGGGCCTGGGGCAGCCTGAGGAATCTTTGCTTACACTGGAAGGACAGATAGGGACCATTTATCTTGTGACCTAACATTTGAATGAAAGAACAGTAACAATAACAACATGGGGACCTTAACTCTGTGCCAGGCACTGGCCTACGCCATGTACCCATGGCGAGTCAGTTAACATCTGTAACCACCCTCGGGCAGATGTTCTGTTACAGGATTACTTGGTCCTGTGTTCATAGGCATCCATTTACAGATGGGGAAACTGAGGCCCAAAGGTTGCAAATAACTCTGATTTTTAACTCTCCTAGTGGTCCTTCCATAACCTCTGTGAGCATGAAGGCTGGGCCCCTTTCTGTTCTTTTTGTGCTTGTGCTAAGTCACTTCAGTCGTGTCTGACTGTGTGACCCCATGGATTGTAGCCCACCAGGCTCCTCTATCCATGGGCTTCTCCAGCCAAGAATAGTAGAGTGGGTTGCCATGCCCTCCTCCAGGGGATCTTTCTAGACTAGAAAACTCTAGGAAGCTCTTCCTTTACTAGACTAGAAAAGTCATGTATTATTTCCAAGTGGCTGCAATTCCCATGTGCTTTATGAAGAAGACATGCCATGGATCCCATAGCCCCGGCACAAGGAATGATTAAAAGCATAGGCTCTGAAACTTACTTAGGTTCAAAGCCCTCTTTTTCCATTCACAAGCTCTGTGACACCTCTCTGGGCCTCAAGTCAGCTCATCTGTAAAATTGGCTAATAATGATAACACTTACCCCAGTGACTGGCTGGGAGGACTCGGTGAAATAACATAAGAGGAGAACTTAGCCACTTCACTCAGGGCTGGCCAGGAAGATGTCCAACCACCTTTAGCTCTGGTTATTGGCACTCTGCCAGCCTCTCCCACCTGTCCAGGCTGCCTGGCCTAAGAGGATGGAGGGGGTGGTGATCCTGGTGGAGGGAATGGTGTGTATACTGGCCTTGAGGCAAAGAAGAGGAATAGAAAAGGGCAAAAGCTGAGACCTTATAGCCCTAAAGAAAGTCTTGGACTGTCCCCCTTGGGTGCTGGGAGCTGTGGGAGGGTTGCTACCAGGACCTAGGGCCTGCTGCCCAATCAGTACTGACTCCTAGGAAGCCCTGATTCTTTTCTCATTAAACACAAAATTTTGTGCTGGACATTGTTCTAGGCGCTGGGTAAACAGCCGTGAACAAAACAAAGCCCTGCCTGATGGAGCTGACATAAGGAGGAGGAGAGAGACCACACACACAGAGCGATCCCATGCCAGGTGGAGATAAGTGCTATAAAACCAATTAGGGAGGGTTAGGAGAGAGAAAAGGACAGAGCTGCTTCAGACAGAGGGTCGCTGATGTCTTCCCAAGGAGACTGAGTTTGAGCAGAAGCCTAAGGAGGTGAGGGAGGGAGCCTGGCAGGTGACTGGGGAAAGATCTTTTCCAGGCTGACTGAGAAGCAAGTGCAAAGGCCCTGGGGCAGGAGTCAGCCTACAGTGTATGAGAATCTGGGACTTACCTGGTGGTCCAGTAGTTGGGACTCCACACTTCCAATGCAGGGAGCACGGGTTTGACCCCTGGTTAGGAAACTAAGATCCCACATGCCACCCAGTGTGGCCAGAATTTAAACCAACAAAAAGTGTATGAGGACCTACACGGAGGTCAATGTGGCTGGAACGAAATGAACAAGAGAGAGTAGAGTAGGAGTGAGACGTGAGGTTAGGGAGGCAATGGAGGCAGATCGTGGGAACCTGAGAACTTTGCTTTTACTGTGAGATAATAGCCACAGGAGGGTTTTGAGCAGATAAAAGATCTCACTTGTACCTTTATTGAGGGAGAATTCTCAGACCATACAACCCACTGATTTAATAAGTGTACAATTCAGGGGCTTTTAGTATATTCATAGACTTGCACAACCATCCCTACAGTCAATTTTAGAGATTTTCATCACTCCAAAAAGGAACCCTATACCTCTTAACCATCAACCCCGCCATGTCCCTCCATCTCTGCCCAGCCCTGGGCAACCACTAATCCACTTTCTGTCTCTATAAGATTGTCCATTTTGGACATTCCATGTAAATGAATGATAATGAGGTCCTTTGTGAGTAGCTACTTTGCTGTAGCATAACTGTCGTGTATTTTAGTTGGACCCCTGAGGGCTGCTGGTGGAGAACAGACTCTTCAGGGTTGGAGGTGAGGCTGGGAGCCCAGTGAATAGTCCCAGGTGGGGAGATGATGGTGGTTGGACCAGAGTGAGGGTCATGGAGCTGGACAGATGTTGGACAAATGGTTATTTGTACATGAGTGGTGTCTTGGGAAAGAGAGTGACTTTTTGACTTTGTCCCAAGTAGCTAGAAGATGGAGCTGCCATCATCTGAGATGGGGGTGGCTGAGGGAGGAGCAGGTATAGGGGAGAACCAGGAGCACAGATCAGGCAAGTGAGCTGGAGGCATTATTGGATGATGATATTGGAGGGGAGAGGCGAGTACACAGCCAGAGGGAGAGGTTCGGGCAATCTGGGAGCCTGTGCATGCAGACTCTTCATGTCCACAAGTGGGAATGACATCCCAGGTGAGAAGAGGCGGAGGAAGCCCCACAGGCTTGCAGTTGACCTGGCACAGGCCAGAGTTGAGATTGCCATCCTGCCATCTGGTTGGAGAGACCCCCTATTCCTCCAGAAGTCCCCTTCTCCTGCTCCAGCCACCTCTCCTGTCTCCCAGGCCCTCCTGCCCCCTCCCTTCTTCTCCCCAGAATCCACGACTGTGGCCAGAGATGGTTCTGTCTGGATAGTTCAGAGCCTTCTAGAATGTTGGTTCTTACTCTGAATGAGAACAGAGCTACCTGGCTCAACAGGAGACCTCCAAGACCCAGTTTCCATTAAGGCTGGCACCGGCCACCAGCTTATTGTTAAATATATTGTTTCTCCCCCCTGGGTCCTGGGGCTTCTGCTCCAAGGCATGATCCGACCCAGGTTTTCAAAGGCTGACTTTGGGGCCAGGCTGGGTGGGAGGTGGAAAGGGGAAATCATGACAGAGTTAGAGGTCCCGCCTGTCTCACCTACATCTCTCTCTCCACAGACACACCAGCCCACGGCAAGGGGGGCTCCAGCAGCCCAGAGCCTTGGGCCAGAGCCTCCTGCAATCCCCAGGAAGGGGGCTGCCAGCCACCCAAGGAGCGTGAGTCCTCGTCCCCTCCAGCCCTGCAGACGGTCCAGCTGCCCCGCCTGGCCTTGTCTCCACCGCCCCACTCCCCCAAGGTGGAGGTCACCCCAGAGCCGGTGTCCGTGGTGGCGGCCGTGGTGGATGGGGCCGTGGTGGCAGCCCGGGGGGTGATCATTGCCCCGAGGAGCGAGGAGGGGGCCCTCCGGCCACCCCCTGCCCCTCTCCCACCCCATGACTCCCCCCCCCACAAAAGGAGGAAAAGTTTCCCTACACGGAAGAGGCGGGGGCGATGGAAATCTCCCTGAAATCTGCCATGGGATTTGAGCTTGTCTACGCACCTTTTGCCTGCACCTCCTCCCCAACCTTAGCCCTGTGGAGGAGGGCAATGCACCTTCCCTTCCCAGCTGCACCCCGGCTCCCTGCTGCAGGGGCACAAGCACCCCACCCCCTGTACTAGTTAGTGCCTGATTCTGGGGCGGGGAGGCCTCCTGGATGGGCCCCCCAGCCCTTTCTCCAGTACAGCGCTGTCTGCCTGGCTGCTTCCCCCAACCCCGACTTCTAAGCCATGGATTTTATGTTATTTATTATATAACATAATAATATGGTGGGTTGCGGAGGGAAACCTGCACTACCCCCCACCCCCGCCCCCGCCCCTAACAACTCCTGGCCTTGACTTGAAGAGAACTTACCCACCTCCCCAACCCAAACTTTGGAGGGGGTGGGGGCTGCAAGACAAATCAGGATGAAGAGGAGACCGCAGTTTGTACCCTAGGGAGGGAAGGGGTGGAGTTCTCACTGGGGAGATGGAGGTCGAGCCTTCTGCCTCCCACTGCAGGTCTCTGACCTCCGGAGCTTAACCCCTCTGTCCTCCCCAGTGAGCAGATATCAATAAACTTATTTTTTAATACAATTACTTGGGGCTCTGCCTGAGACAGGCCTGGAATTTTACCACCTATACCAGCCCCATCTGTCTGTGGTCAGGTGACACTCCCTTGAAGTTGGGAGGCTGGTAGTTTTCTAGACTTTTTTTTTCTTTTCTTAAAGCCATCAAGTCCTGTGTTCAAATCTTACCCTACTTTTTCATCCTCAGACACCCCCTGCTAAATGTGACCTCTAGGAGGACACCTTGGATTCCTTTTTCTGGGCTCGGATGGGTCTGCTGCTTAGATTTTCCCTCAGCATCCTGTCGTCCCTAAATGAACACATGCCTTTATTTAAAGCCTGCTCCCCCTATAGTTTAATGAAGTCGGGAAGCTGGTTCTCTTTTCTACTCCCAAACTGGCTGGAGAATCTTGTAGCTAAGTAGGCAATAGCCATCACCCTGGACTCAGACCTGGTTCAACCCCTGGTGCTGCCCTTTATTGTCCTCATCTGTAATATGGGCATAAAGATTTAGCTACAACTACATCCTATTCATCCTTCAGGTCACAGCTCAAATATCACCCCCTCAAGGAAAGGCTTTCCTGACACCTCCTTTCTCCCCCAGCAAGTTATAAAAGAAAGGGAGTTAAATAATCATTTGAGTACATTTAAGTTAAATGTCTGCCTCCAGGTGAGCCTTGTCAGGGCACGGCCTGAGCCATCTTAGTGGCTGCAGCATCCTCAGCATTGCCCATCACAGAAGAGAGGTTGAGTCTCTGAAGTAATGGGAGCTTAAAAACAGCTTTCATTTATGGTGCTCCTTTTCTATGCCAGGCTCCACGCTCAGCATTAATACGAATATGCATTTTAACGTGAAGGTACCCAATGAAAAGCGGGAGTCCCCATTTTCTCCTGAGAAGGTTTAGAGGCTTGCCCTAAATTGGTCAGGGGCCAATGCAGTTCACCAGTCTGGCTGGAATTCTTGACTCCCACTCTCTTTAATATTTACTAAAGAATAACTAAAGGCAATTTTACTTGATACATAGATGGCCTTTTTAATGGCTCTATATGTACATAGTTTTATTTTGTAAAAATGAACCTAGTACTTAAAACCTGTAATTAGGCACATAATACCGCTTAGGATAAGGCAGAAGTAAATAGCCTTTTTTCATAGAAGTTACTTAAAGAAAAATGTTAATAACAGTGGTTAAAAAAAAAAATAACAGTGGTAAACAAAATTGTGCAGCTGAGACTGAAGTTTGGATAACAGAAACAGCCCTGCTATGGCTGCAACGGGATGAAGGAGAGGGGAAGCAAGCGCTCCCTGATTAGTTTGAAAACTAACGAATGCAACCCTGGCAAGTCATTAAAATACTTTGAGCACAACAGAGACCCAGGCTTCCCTGGTGGCTCAGTGGTAAAGAAATCTACCTGCCAATCAAGGAGATGCAGGTTTTATGCCTGCCTGGGTCAGGAATGTTCCCTGGAGAAGGAAATGGCAACCCACTCCAGTCTTCGTGTCTACTTCGAGTAGCCCGGCGGCCTACAGTCCATGGGGTAGCCAAAGAGTCAAACAAGGCTTAGCAACTGAACAACAGACCCAGGCCTAGAGAAAAGAGGCTGATGTGGGTTAGAATCTGGAAACCTGTCTCTCCTACACACGCCCCTTCTACAAACACGCCCTGCAGCGTTCCATCGCCGTGAAGCACGAGGGTCCCAAAAGCCTGCTTTTGCCTATCAGGTAGTAAGCACTCAAGGTTGGAAAAAAAACGAGATCTGGTTCTCGCTCTCCCAGACACTATGCCCCACCTCCAACTCTTGCTATCTCTGGCCTCATTTTCTCCTTCCAAATTAGTGAGCCGTAGAGGTCGAGAGCTCCTCTCAACCCGGCGCTCAGAAACCCCAGAAATTGAGGTGGGGGGCTGGGTTGTGGCCAGACAGCGGGAATCGTGAAGGCCTCGACCAACCTCCCAGGCGGCGGAAGTGCGTCGGTTCGTCTGCCCCGCGGAGCATTTCGGGAACTGTAGTGAAGTTCGGCGGGGTGCGCAGAAACTGACAGTGTAACCCTTTGGAGACCAGAGCGCGCCGGCGGAACTCTTAACAGTTAGGTGCGTTCGACCACTCCCTTTGGCAGATAAAGCAACTGACGCGGAGACCTTCAGTCCTCTCCTTTCACCGGTTTTCGCTGGCCCCAGTCAATAGTCTGATATCCAAGATTCTGGGCAAGACGAAGTGCCAGGTGGACAGTCCTACCCAACACTTGGATCGCCAGCTTCCTGTCCTCCCCGTACCCTGAAACCTTCCAGCTAAGGCCCCTCCGCCCCCGCCCCACGAGCTGCTGCCTTCAGTAACCGGTAGCCGGCCCACCTTTTGAAGGGCGGGGAACTGAATCTCAGAGAAGGCAAGACTTGCCTAAAGTTGCACAGCAAGTCGGAGTAGAAACCAGATGCCTGATCCACCTCCTGCAATTTCTGAATCCGCGGTGGCTCTGACCATCCGTATCATATCCCCGCCCCCAACCTTTGTGCTCTAGCTGCTTGGAGCAGCCAAACTCCCTGCCCCGCCGGGAGGAGTAGTCACGGCTGCGCAGCGGAGAGGCGGCGAGCCCCTACCCTCCTGCAGCTTGCGGTCCCCTTTAAGAACAGGCCCCGGCGGGACTACGTTTCCCAGAAGGCTTTGCCGGCGCGTTATGTAACTTTCCCTGCGAAGCGGCCTCTGGGGCAGAAAGAGGCGGCGGCGGCGGTGGCGGCGGCGGGAGAGGCGGGAGAAGCTGTGCGCCGCGGCCCGGAGCCTGGACCCGGCGGGGGCGCCGACGTGCCTCTGCCAGTCTTTTCGAGGAGGCGGGAGTGAGGAAAAAGGCTTAGGGCCCAGGGGGCGGGGAAGGGGGGCCGGGCCTGGATCCGCTTGGAGGCCGAGCGAAAGGCCTGGCCGTGGCTCGCGGGGACGCGAATCAAACGGCGGCGGCGCGGATCGAACGGCGGCGGCGGCGGGTGGAAGGCTAGAGCCCGAACGGGCGCGTGCGGGTGCTATGGCGTCCGTGCAGGCGTCCCGCCGCCAGTGGTGCTACCTGTGCGACCTGCCCAAGATGCCGTGGGCCATGGTGTGGGACTTCAGTGAAGCCGTGTGCCGCGGATGCGTGAACTTCGAGGGCGCGGATCGCATCGAGCTGCTCATTGATGCCGCCCGCCAGCTCAAGCGCAGCCACGTGCTCCCCGAGGGCCGTTCGCCGGGGCCCCCGGCCCTCAAGCACCCGGCCACTAAGGATCTGGCTGCCGCTGCCGCACAGGGCCCTCAGTTGCCGCCTCCACAGGCCCAGCCCCAGCCGTCGGGGACAGGCGGCGCTGTCTCCGGCCAGGACCGCTATGACAGGGCCACATCGTCGGGCCGCCTCCCCCTGCCCTCGCCCGCCCTGGAGTACACCCTGGGGTCCCGCCTGGCCAATGGGCTGGGCCGCGAAGAGGCTGTGGCGGAGGGGGCGCGAAGGGCCCTGCTTGGCTCCATGCCCGGCTTGATGCCCCCCGGGCTGCTAGCAGCTGCGGTGTCTGGTCTGGGAAGCCGAGGCCTGACGCTGGCACCCGGCTTGAGTCCTGCCCGTCCAGCTTTCGGCTCCGATTTCGAGAAGGAGAAGCAACAGAGGAATGCGGACTGTCTGGCAGAACTGAACGAGGCCATGAGGGGCCGGGCAGAGGAATGGCACGGACGCCCCAAAGCCGTGCGGGAACAACTGCTGGCGCTGTCCGCCTGTGCCCCTTTCAATGTCCGTTTCAAGAAGGATCACGGGCTGGTGGGACGTGTGTTCGCCTTCGATGCTACTGCCCGCCCGCCAGGCTACGAGTTCGAGCTGAAGCTTTTCACTGAATACCCCTGTGGTTCTGGCAACGTGTACGCAGGAGTCCTGGCCGTCGCTCGCCAGATGTTTCATGATGCTCTGCGCGAGCCGGGCAAGGCGCTGGCCTCATCAGGCTTCAAGTACCTCGAATATGAACGTCGTCATGGCTCTGGGGAATGGCGCCAGCTGGGGGAGCTGCTAACGGATGGGGTCCGCAGCTTCCGAGAGCCAGCCCCCGCCGAGGCCCTGCCCCAGCAGTATCCAGAACCGGCCCCTGCGGCCCTCTGCGGCCCTCCCCCACGAGCCCCATCCCGGAATCTGGCTCCCACTCCACGCCGTCGCAAGGCCTCCCCTGAGCCCGAGGGCGAGGCAGCTGGGAAGATGACCACAGAGGAGCAGCAGCAGCGGCACTGGGTGGCACCCGGCGGCCCATTCTCCGCTGATACCCCTGGTGTGCCCTCCCCCATCGCCGCCCTGAAGAACGTGGCCGAGGCCCTGGGCCACTCCCCCAAGGACCCTGCCGGGAGTGGGGGCCCTGTGCGCGCCGGGGGTGCCAGCCCCGCCGCCTCCTCCACGGCCCCGCCTCCAGCCCAGCATCGTCTAGTGGCCCGCAATGGTGAGGCAGAAGTGAGCCCCACAGCAGGGGCGGAAGCTGTTAGCGGGGGTGGTAGTGGCACCGGGGCGACCCCTGGGGCCCCCCTGTGCTGCACCCTCTGCCGAGAGCGTCTGGAAGACACCCACTTCGTCCAGTGCCCCTCAGTGCCCGGACATAAGTTTTGTTTTCCCTGCTCCCGCGAGTTCATCAAGGCTCAGGGCCCTGCTGGAGAGGTGTACTGCCCCAGCGGAGACAAGTGCCCGCTAGTGGGCTCCTCTGTCCCCTGGGCCTTCATGCAGGGAGAGATCGCCACCATCCTTGCTGGAGACATCAAGGTTAAGAAAGAACGGGACCCCTAGGCCACCACTGCCACCAGTCTACTGCCCATCCGCCCCCGCCCCCCTCCACCCCTTGCCACCCACCGCTGCTGCGGATAAATTATTCCCTCCCCCACCCAGGCCTGTGCCTCCCCCACCTGTGTACATACCCACTTCCTTATCCCAGATGGGTCCCCTGGGGTAGATGCATTGAGGGTGGGGGGAGAAAGCTTCTGTCCGAGGGGGTGTTTGGGGTCCCCTGACCCCTCTGGTTTCCCTCTCCCCTCCTTGGCTTGGCTTTGCTGCTGCTT